GCTAGAGTAAAAGCAAGTGGAAAATCTTGAGATTTCTTCTATCTCAAGGAAGTTTGATAGATCGGGCTCTCTTTTTAATAATGATATATAGTGACTGGTAACTTTAACCAGGAAAAAAAAGTGAGAAGTACATTTGGGAAGTAAAATGTCTGTTTTCTCCAAGAAAATTGGTCATGTTGGAGAAGTGTGGTGCTAAACAATATATGATACCTGTCAACAGGGTTTTAAAACATACCTTTCTTTGTGTTTGACAAAGCCCAGTTCAACTGGATGACTTTGACGCCTACATCAAGGATATGGCCAAAGACTCTGACTATAAATTTTCTCTTCAATTTGAGGTGAGTGGATAAAGTATATCCCGCCCTCTGCGGACATGGAAATTGGCAGCTTTGTTCTGGCGTCATTGCCCTGCTCACAGGACAGCGCTTGTGATGGTCACTGGGCTCGGGGTGTCCAATCTGCTGGTTCACAGCAGGGATGCCAGCCCATAGTTGGCCGGTCAGGGTGTGGGTGGCACACATGAAGGGAAGGAGAGAACAAGTGCTGGTGTCAGGAGGGACAAACGTGCTTACAGGAGAAGCCGTCACTGACAACCAGGGCGATGGAGAGTGCAGGGGAAAGCCAGCTGAGGTTTGAGATGTGGAACCGTTTCAGTTTCAGGGGATTTTGAGTGGGTTTACCATGCCTCTTAGACTGCAGAAAGGGGGGATGGTGCATGAAATGGAGCCCTTTCATCTCCTGAGCATAGAAGAGCCTGGAGTGTCTCTTACAGCTACGGGACCTCATGTGTCTTTGTGACGTTTTATTTTCTTGGAGAAATTGGGGAAAGAGTGTTACACATAGTTTGTGCAGAAGAACAAAATTAGCAACATGTCCCTTTTCTGAAGCATGCGTGTTTGAGTCTAAGACCGTGTGTCAGAGTATGGAAATGAGCGAGTCTGGGAGCTCAGTGGTGGAAGGGATGTGACTGGTCCTCAGTCTTTCTTCCCATGCGCTTCCCAGCTCAGAACACAGTCTGTATAACCTCTCATCCTGTAAACTCCTGCAGGAGGCTCGGGTGGTCCGTGATTCAGGGAGACCAAGCAGAAGCGAAAGATAAAGTAACTTTTCCAAATTATGTGGGTTTTTTAAAAAGCCCTTTTGCTGCTTTTTCCTGTGAAGCACCAGGTTGTAGACTGTAGCTGCTTTCTCCTCATCATTCACACCCATTTCTTCTTTCCCGGAATCAGCCAAGGACAGTTCTGGTCTGCAAGAAGCAGCAGGAGTCCTGGTGTGGGTGTTCATTCTAACAGGGCATTTAAGGATGAAAAGAACCTTATACATTATCAGACACCAAGCCCCCTACCTACCACCTGTGTCATGGGAACTTCCACATAAAGCCTGGCTCAGTTAGCCATTGTTTGCTGGTGCGTAAGAGGTTATAAATGCTACACCAAATGCTACAGCTCAAAGAACAGAAACTCGATTTGAATTGGAGATCTCTGGTGAGGATGGCATTTCAGAAAGAGTGTGTCGACGAAAGGAGGGGATTTTTGATTAGAAAACATAAGCCAAAATGCAGAAGAAAATAAATATCTAGATAAATCTGATAATGGCGATGAAAATTGTGATGTAGGTACATTTTTAATCTCCTTGAAGCCACAATCTCTGAAGCTGTCTCTATACAGCTAAACCAAAGAGGGGGAGCATTATTTCCAAACAAAGAGAGAACACTGGAGAACCAAGCAGTACGTGATTAGACCTTAGCTTCAGCTGTTTCAAATATGTGAAAAGTGGAATTTTACATTTTATGTCATAAATTGAACGCTTATGACATACTGAAGACTTTCATATGCTCTATGTATCAATGAACACATTCAGGTTTATTTCATAGGATTTAAAAGGGAGATAGGAATATACTTAACTGGGAGTCCAAAAACCCGGGTCCTCACTACCACTGATTTTTCCACTAATTAATGTTGAGAAAAAAAATCACAGTTTCTCATCATCTCAGTTTATTTATCTATAAAATGGTTAATTTGAACAAAATCAGTTGTTGTCAACTGAACCCATACCAGGCAGTCCCCTAGAGGGGATTGGGAGTGTGTGGTTGTCTTCAGGACTTGGGAGGGAGCTACCAGTGGTATTTAATGGGGAGAAGGGCAGGAATGCTCTGCAATGAGTGGGACAGTCCCACACAGCAAAGATCATCCCAGGTCAGCAGTATTCCACCAAGAGATGCTGGACCACTGTGGGCCAGGGATACATCCAAGCTGTGTGCCTGGTGTGTCAGTCAGGGCTCTCCAGAGACACAGAACCAACAGGAGATGTATATACACACACACACAATATAAACACTCATAATATTAATTATGTTATGTAATTATTGTACATTATATAATTATATTTGATTATGATTATGTAATTATTATATGTATATCCTATGTATGATAATATAATAGGATACATATGTATATAGAAAGAGAGAGATGGAGAGATTTACTTGACAGGATTGGCTCACACAATTGTGGGAGCTGGCAAGGCTGCCATCTGTAGGAGACCCAGGGAAGAGCTGATGCTGCCGTTCAAGTTCAAAGGCTTTCTGGAAGCAGAATTCCTTTCTCCTTGGAGGACATCAGTCTTTTCTCTTAAGGCCTTCAACCGAATGGATGAAGTCCACCCACATCATGGAGAGTAATCTGCTTTCTCAAAGTCTACCGATTGTAAGTGTAATTCGTATCTAAAAAAATACCTTCACCAAACATCTTGGTGCCATAGCTCAGGCAAGGTGACACGTAAAATCAGCCATCACACCTTGATTTGAAGAGTGTTTAGTATTTTTACTTATTATGAAGCTTTTTTTTTTCACATACCTTTATTCTTAGAATATAATTGGTCAAATATGTAGTGTAGTTGGTGCCAAGTCCTGATACTACATCTCTGTTCTGATGAGAAAACACAAATTACTCTCCAGAAGTCTGTTTTAAATCATAGGCTTAGATTGTAGGTTTCAGGCTTAAGCAGTGGCCCAGTGGTCTGACTCACTTCCTTTTTTTATTTGACAGCCTCCCAGGAGTTGCCAGCCCCCAGCTCCACCCACATCCTGAGGTTCAGTGTCAGGGTAACCTCCTCTACTCTCAAAGGCGTGTTATTTTCCCAGACCTGACTTCAGGGTGCATGTCAAACCTTTAACGTGGTAGCCCTCAAATTTCCCTGAACTTGATAAATAGTTGAGGCTTAAGGAAAAAAATATTTCTTACTCTAATGGGAAACCCAAGAGGATATTGATTTGGACTAGCTAAATTCTGTCTCCGAACAGTTTATTTGTCCTGTTTATAATGATGCTTCATATGTGTATTCATTTTGATACTGACATTGAAAGATTGTGCTCATATTGAGAAATTACATCATTTATAAGCATTATGCAAATTGAAACCAATGTCTAGATTCACATATATCACCGGTACAACTATAAATCACACATGAAGCTGTATGAACTGCTAATTTGCATTCAATGAATAAATTTCTCTTTCACGCTGCATCTGATTTTGGATCTGCTGGATAGACTGACTATCCTTCTAATGAAAATATACATCTTTTCTTAAGGTGCTTTGGGACCCAGGAATTAAATTCAGCTCCTCATTTCTTATGTCTCCTATTGAAAAGGTTTTGGAGAGCTAGACTTTAGAGCCTGGGATTTAGGAGCCCACAAGACGTATCACAAATTGCTCATTTTGCCACTAATTTCTGTGCTTTGTGTTTGATCGGGACGCTAGTGAAAACCCTTACCACCTTTGTTCGGAAATGTGGTTACGAAGATCAAAACAAGACAACACTACTTACCATACAGTTCACAGAAGACCTTTGGTTTCTGGTTGTAGTTTCCATTTGTGGCTGTTTTTACTTGTGTTTTAGTCCAGTTCTCTGGAGACCTTCCTACAGCCATCTTTGAAATAAGTCACTTCAAACCCTTTCCAACAGTGCCCACACCAGGGGGTTTACTTTATTCCCAGACCTGAGTTTTCTCTGCTGTCATTCCTCGTTGTCCCTCTTGCCAAGTACCTGCACTGGCAATCTGTCCGGTGACTGGAGCGTTGCCCTAAATCCCACCCCACAGCCCAGGGCCCCTCTGGCTGTTGCCAGACTCTCCTGAGGTTGATGCCTTCTTCCCAGTTTCCCCTCACCTGCCCAAGTTTGCCCTCGCTAGAGCATTCCATCCTTCCTCCCGAGTACCTGCTCTAGGTTGAATTGTGTCGCCCGAAAGATACGTTGAAGCCGTAATTGCTTAGTACCTCAGCACGTGACCTTATTTGGAAAGAGAGTCCTAGCAGATGTCTTAGGATGTGGTCAGACTGGAGGAGGGTGGGCTCTCACCCAGTATGTCTGGTGTCCTTGTGACAAGACAAAGACACAGAGACAAACAGGGAGAATGCCAGGTGATGACAAAGGCAGCAAGGTGCAGAACATGCCTCTGCCTGAGCCGCCCAGTCTGTGGCGTTTGTGTCGGCATCCCCAGCTGACTAACACAGCGCATGTGTTTGCGCTCTGCTTTTCAAGACGGTGCTTCAAACGCAACCAGCACAGCTCAGACCGCCGCTGGCGTCGGTGCCTGTATTAGTTTCCCAGTACAGCAAATTACCCCAATCTTGGTGACTTAAAACAACAGACGTGTCTTCTCTCACAATTCGAGAGGCCAGAAGTCCGGACTCAAAGTGTTAGCAGGACCACGTTCCCTCTGCAGGCTCTCGGGAGGAATCCGTCTTTGCCTCTTCCAGCCTCTGGCACCTCCAAGCATCCCTGACTTGTAGCTGCATAACTCGAACCAATGCCTCCACCTCCACGTGGCCTCACCCTCTTCTGTCTCTTTTAAGGACACTAGTCATTAGAGTCAGGGCTAATACAGCAGATAATACAGAATGATCTGACCTTGTGATGCTTCATTATATCTGCAAAGACTCTTTTCCCTAACAAGACCACAGTCACAGGTTCCAGGGGTCCAGACATATCTCTGGAGAGACCATCATTCAATCCACTATAAGTAACTATGTAACCTGGGTGGGAGGGAACCCCATGATGATAAATTATAACAGAAACAAAACTAGCAAAAGAAATTTCAAAAATGATTTATGTTGGTTTCAGGCCATCATCACCTCCTACTTGGCCTTCATGAAGTTTAAGCCTCTGGAGTTTCCATATGGTTAGAAAGAAGGTAACTGTAAAGCTATTGAGCTGGAAACTCAGAATTTGATTTTCCACTAGTGCCAGGCTAAATTACAATATCGCAAGGCATTTTGTGTATACATGCCGTCCCTGCTTTGCTGCAGTTTAACTCTGGCAATTTACGTTTCCAGTGTTCAGTCAATTAAACCTCTGCTATCAACCGAGAGCATTTACAGCAGGGAGGCAACACACAATTAAAGTTCTGTCGGTTAGTCAACTTCCATACGTGCTCCAGCTTTCAGCCTCAGTCTGCTCGCACAGTTCCTTTTCCTGCAGTTTATCAGTCTGTTCTCAAAGCAGGGGACTCGAAGGCGGGAGTTGCTGGTTGGTTAGTGCAAATAGCAAAGGAGGGAGAAATTATGGAGCCTGGCAAAGCAAAATAAACAAAGAGGAAGCATTTCACAGTCATGATCAACAGGGCTGTATTAATATTTGTTGAGTTTAATCGTTTCATTTCATAGTCACTGTACATCAGGGAGATGTGGAAAAATTATTAGCCTTATCTTACAGATAACTAAACAGATGTCAAGGAGAACTGAACTGCTTTTTCAAGACCCAGCAGTGTATAAGTGGTCCACTGAAATAAGCCAGATATTTTGACAAATTATCTATGGAGGCACTCCCCAAAGAAAGTAGATTTCCAAAAAATTTTAAGCAATGGAAGCATCATTTAAGTAAGCTTATAACTTCCAAAAGGAGCTAAGGCGCTAATCTAAAAATAACACTGACTTGGTTGATGTTTGCTAAAAATGTTTTTGTTTCTTATAAGAACAATATAATCAGTCTTTGAAAACTCTTTAAAATGGAAAAAAAAGTTATAAAGGCAAAATGACAAGCTTCTGTTTAAGGGCATTTGGCAAGCAAAGGCTTCGCCTGAGATGGAAAAACTCTTTTAAATTTGTGAATTGGAGGATCAAAGTCAGCATTGTTGATCTGAAGATTGGCTTCAACTTGGGCCAACGAACTTGAGATTTTTATGAGCTTGAAAAGCCAAAGTGATGAGAAATCAAAGGAAGAGAGAAATCTGGGCAACTGAGGTCACTTCATCCTTGTTGACTGCAGCTTGCATCCCAGAGCTATTAAGGACACACGCTAGCTACCAACGACCTTCTCTGTGGACACAGCAGACACACCAAGAACTTGATGTCTAAAGCATTTGCTTTGCATGAGCCCTTGAACCAAGAAGCAAATGGCACGAAAAGAAATATCCCTGTTCAATCTCTCAAAATATTGCCAAATGTTTCCAACTCCCCTCAAAAGTCTTTCAAAAACTCTCCAAAATTCTTCCCCCAAAGAAATATTCCTCCAGCTTATGATTCTTTGAAATAATAATTGGGAGGAAGCATGAGGAGTAACATCCCACATGAGTAAATAAAACTTACAGCAAGTCGTGTTTCTACTTCTTCCCTTAATAGGCTTATAGAAAAATGCATACTATATATGCAACCCCATTTGTAGATGGTTATGCATGCCGTTACTAATATTACCCTCAGGTTTGTACAGGATCTGCTGTATAGGTTGTGCACTGCACAATTCCAGGAAGCACTGTTCACATAGATCACAGTGTAAATGGTGCCTCCAGGGAAATCCAGGTGGACTGACTCCAACCTCTTGTTTCCTATCAGACACATGACAGAGCAGCTTAGAAACCCTTTTTTGCAGTAACATAACCTTTTTGAAGTACGTTGATCATCTGTTTATATAAAAATTGCCCTATCAGTGCACCTTCCGGTAATAGAATTTATGAGTGCCGTGACACACCAGCAGATATTTGGGTGTTCTTATTTTCATCGACAGATGCGCCTCCCCACTACTGCTCCATCCTTATTTGGGGGTTTCATGACCAGACTTAATGACTGTCGACCCTGTATCTTGTAACGTGGAGAATGCTCCGTACTTGCCTCATTCTCTCTTTTACTACCTTCTCGAAAGCCCATTGCCTACAGGAGGAATACCTACAATTCCTTATATGTTTATGCAAATTGAATACATTTCAGTTACTCTGTACCTCCGAAAGTCCGAAACCTATTTTTGTTTTCCAAAATTTCCATACCCTGAGTGTGATGCACTTAATTCTTTCCTTCTCCAAATGACCACTTAGCTATCCGATGTGTTTGTGTATTACATTAGTCACCTGTTACTGCAATAAAACTGCATAAGAAACAACCTCAAAATCTCAGTGACCTGCAGCAACATTAATTTTTCTCACTCGTGGGCCCGTGGGACAGCTGAGGTGGTTCTGCTCGAGTCAGGTCTGTTCCATGCGTCTTCTCATCCTGGGACTGGCAGCTTCCCTGGGCGTGTTCTTTTAGCGCAGATGGCAGGAAGCACAAGAGAGGAAACCAAGCTGAGCAAGCACATTGAAAGCTTCTGATTAGACGAGTGTTCCATCCAAATTCATTGGCTGAAAGCAAGGTGACAACAGTTGGGTGGAGAAGTACGCTCTGTCCCCAAAGGGAGCCACTGTGCCATCATAAGGCAAAGGGGGTGTGGTCATTGTGAGCCTTCTGTTACAGGACGTGAAGAATAATCCAATATGAACAATGAGCCCATGTGAACAATAATCCAGCCCACACCATGTGCGGGAATCTCACATCTGTTCTCTGTCGTTTACAGGAGTTGAAATTGATTGGACTGGACATTCCACACTTCGCGGCCGACCTTCCCCTGAACCGATGTAAAAACCGTTACACGAACATCCTGCCATGTAAGATTGTCGATAGCGCAGATCCTATTCGTGTCTCCCAAAGGTTGAAGGACTGTCATTGTGGATTAGTCAGTCCCACCCATCTCTGGCCAGGCCCAGTAATGGTCTGTCCCCTCCAGGCCATGCCTGTGACTGCACTGAGCTCATTGGTACACTGATGTCGTTACACCCTGTCCTGTGTAGGAAGGTGTAATTATTATGCTTTTCAATGAATTATATCTGAACCAAAAGGATTGACAGTCTGGCCCTTTGGAGGTCAAAAAGTCTCAGCCAAATTAGGGGTAAGATCATTTGTGCTCATAACCAATTTTCAGTCAGTTCATTGAAAATGGAGACTGAGTGCAAGGTATGAAAAAGCCTCCTTTCTTGCTTCCGGCAAGTTCTGCTATTTCCTAGAATTTTGCAATAAAAGTAACATTCAAAGAAAAAGTAACATAAAGTACAGGACAATTAAAATAGATTCCCATATAGATTTACCTTTCCTCTCTGCAACTCTCTAGGGGGAGCTGGGAAAGAAGGAAGAAGCGGAAAGCTCTAGAAGGAGAACCCTCTCCTTCGTAAGGGTTCTTGACAAAATTAGGTGGTATTATTGTTATAACGTCTTCTATCTGTACACATTTCAGGATTGACTTTTTTCACTTGAAGTCCATGTACAAAAGTCCATCAACTCCATCATCACTTCTCTAGGTCTCCCAAAGCTAGTGAATTTCCTGGATGCCCCTGAGTGAGATGGGAATCCTGTGTTTAGGCTGCACTCTGTAGCCTTCCACACAACCTACCAGATACTTTAGTTCCTGTACATATTCTGCACAATTTCCCCCCCAAACCTGGAGACAACTCTTCCAGGGACGGGAGCGCTGGTAGGGAGGAAATCCTGGAGATATTTGTATATTTATTTAAACAAGAAACTAAGATTGAGGTATGGCTAACATGTCCAGCTAAAATAAACTTTACCTGCCTGCCCTTTCACTGACTGATTTGACTTGATACTGGGGACAAGGGGTGAAGATGATTCTTCCATCCAGTCTGATTTTTACTATTTCTTTTCTCCTTATTCTTTACAGATGACTTTAGCCGAGTAAGATTAGTCTCCATGAACGAAGAGGAAGGTGCAGACTACATCAATGCCAACTACATCCCTGTAAGTAAACAAAATTTTAAAACTTTTAAAGTCAAGCATCCAAATTCTAGCCCAGCCAGAGGAGGAAAACCAGGGCTGCGGGGATGTGTTGAACAGCTCCGCAGACAGCCGTCCTCCACCAAGCAATGCAGTTCTAAAGAATGGTTTCCATTATTCCGTATAGAATAACGAATAGCGGAAAAAAAGAAACCCAGAGGTTAGTCATATTCAGATTTCTTTGTGAAGGACTAGTGAACGTGAAAGTCGATAATTACACTGAAGATCATCTTGCTTGTGTTTAAATTTCGGTGTCGGCAACCAAAGTCAAAGGGCTCCCCCTGAACACCTGTGCCTTTTATATGTATCTGTAAAACAGTGGTGGTGGTTGTAAAAAGGCGTGGGTGTGATTTCATAGGCTTCCCGAGCAAAATATTTACAATCATACAGATTTATACCTTCAGTTACCGTGACTGCCTACACAGGCACATGATCCTTTGCCAAGCTTATCCCCAGTGAATTTTCAGGGTTTGTTTTTTTTTTTCTCATTCGTGTGAAGCTGCATGTGGTGTTGATTGTGGCTCCTTACCTTCCAGGGGTACAACTCACCCCAGGAGTATATCGCGACGCAGGGGCCACTGCCTGAAACCAGAAATGACTTTTGGAAGATGGTCCTGCAACAGAAGTCTCAGATTATTGTCATGCTCACCCAGTGCAACGAGAAAAGGAGGGTAAGTGCCTACTGGGGTCGCCCCCTCCCTTAGCAGGAAAACCTGCATGAGCCAGTGACATACAGTCAGCGCTTACTGGGTACCAGAAACTTCCAGGTAATTCATCCTCCATCCTCGCGATAATCCTATGCAGTCCTTCAGAGGCAAGGCATTTGTTTTCCCTCAGCGAGCATAGACTATTTCTCCCCTCGCCTGTTCATTTTAAACGGTTGTGCTATTATCCCCTCAGGTGAAATGTGACCACTACTGGCCGTTCACAGAAGAACCCATAGCTTACGGAGACATCACGGTGGAGATGCTCTCAGAGGACGAGCAGGACGACTGGGCCTGCAGACACTTCCGGATCAACTACGTAAGTCACGCAGCACAGGTGCAGGGCCGTCCCCGCGCTGAGGGAACCCCCCCGGGGTCAGGAGACCAGTGGCCCATCATGGGAGACTATGAGCACGTCCCTGCTTCCTGCAAGAGAAAAAGCCCACGTGTGATGTGCTTGCTTCCCATTTCGTGGAGAATGGTGGGGATGAAATGCTGGAGGGCCTGAGGAGATGCAGCCAGAAGGCTGCACTGCCCCGTCTCAGACAAGCCCAGGGTGACAGAAGACACAGTGACTCACTGTAACCGGGCATGACCGAGCAGAGACACGTTGTCACTACTTACACTGACCGTGGGTGAGTGTACGTAGGAGATACAAACACATGCTAAACTAAAATGTTGTCTTAGGTGTAGCGGTTTGAGTTTTGTTTGGCTTTGTCCCATATTTGGTTCTACTTTGGTTTTTATTATTTCAAAGGTACTTCTGGACCTAATTAATCATGGTTTCATTGCACTTTTGAAATGCTGCTGATTTCTGGTGGTTAGAAGGTCAGAAAAGCCTATTTTTTTTGTAAGCCTGCTACCTCTCTGCTGACAGGTCTTTGCGCCCTTGCTGAATGTCCGTGTGCAGGGCTGGGTGCTGACACCAGCCGCAGTCTCCCTGGGGCCTTCTTCACAGAGAGCGGCCCCAGAAAACAGGAGGGGAGCTTTGCCAGCATTCTCCACTTGAACATGCTCTGTTGAGGACAAAGCTTAACAGGAAAGTCCTCATTAAAATGTCCTTGTCCACAGCCTTTCTTCCCAGTATAGATCAGAGGGTGGCAAACTTTTAAAAAAAAAATCGTTAAAATAAATAAATAAATAAAAAATAAAAAAAAAGTTAAAAACACATCGTTTTTTTAAAGCCCATGAGCTAAGAATAAGTTTTACTTTTTTAAAGCTTGGGGGAAAAAATTGAAAGAAGAATATTTTACATGGAATAATATAGAAATTATACACTTCAAATTCCAGCATCCATCAATAACATTTTATTAAAACATAGCCACAAATTTGTTTACTGATTTTCTATGACTGTTTTTAACGCTACATCAAACTTGCATAGTAGCAAAAGGAACTGTATGACCCGGAGAATGTAAAATATTTACCGCCTACCCTTTATAGAAAGTGTGTGCTGACCCTTCATATAGACGGTACAAAAATGATAGTTCATATCCATACCACATGCACTCAGTAACTCACCCTTTACTGATAAGTACAAGAAACAATTCACTTCTTTGCCACTAGCAGTTAACAATGGTTTTGCTACATTGAGAATTTAGGCAAATCCCAGTGAAACAGTAACAAACCGCTCCTTGCTGTACCATCTCTTTGAAATGGCCAAAGCGTATTCCTGCTCAAACACAGTTTTAGCTCAAATGTCACATCCCTTCCCTAGTCTCAAGAAACCTCTCTCCCGTTCCTCCTCTGCTCTGGTTTCATGTATATGGCTCCGTCACAGGGCATCGTAGTTGGTTACAATTCTTTCATCTCCTGTCTGCCTCCCCGCCAGCCCCGTATGCCGTGCGTGTCAGAAGCAAGTACCCAGTTTTAATAATCCATATAATCCCAACCCTTAGTCATTTAATAAATCTTTGTGGAAGGGATAAATGAGTGACTGAATGAAAGTTTTCAAAAATAATAAAGCACTGAGAAAACATCAACAGACTTACCCCATCAGAGAAAATATTTGACAATCAGAATTCCGTCTGAACTCTGCCTTCTGTCTTGGCTATGTTAGCCACAAAGCCAGTATGAACTGCTAGACAGACAGGGGATATATTTGAATAGAATAAATCTTTCCCTAGGTTATGCCTCTAGAAGAAAAAAAGAAAAAAGCAAAAATAGGGACTGTTCCCTTGACAAGGGAAGGTGACATCAATCACTGCATAATAAATATCGTGCTTCTTGTCCTTGGTCTTAATTGATGACCTTTCAATGACAACCATGCAAAGGACCTGAAACACAGGAATAAAACGATGAACAATAGAATTTTCTGGTAATGTTTTTGTACAGTAGTTACAAGCATCTGGTCCCAGAGTGCCCTGTTTGCGCCATAGACATACAGAGTCTAAATTTTAAGCTCCTGCAAAGGTTACATTACCTTCATTGTGCATTGCTAATGAATACATTTATCTGTTTTATTTTTCATTTTTTGCTTATACACTTCCTTATTATTCCCTTCATCTCAATATGTGGAATCTTTCAGAGTATAATCAGATAAAATTACATAAACGAGGAAATCCTGGTAAGAGACATTTTGGAATGGCGAAGTAAGACGTAACCAGCAGGGTTTTCTCATTGAATAAGAAAGGAGGAAAAGGACCCTAACACCCAAGTTGTCACTTTCCAGTACTTGAAACTTGGCATGAACTGAATGAGAACTGGAGATGAAAAACCAGCAAAAACTGGTTTGTTCCCACTGGCACATGCCTTGCTGTTCAGCTGACAGGAATCACCCATCTGACACTGAGACGGCAGCTGCTGAGAGACTGATGACATTTAAAGCTTTCTTGTTTTTGAACCACCTTGTGAATTTTAGCTGGATACGTTTTCAGATCAACTGTATTAGAAGATATATACATACACACACATGCACACATGTATATGTTCTACAATGTACAAGGTTAATGCTCATCCTGTGATCCACATTTGAAAAGAACAAACATTTTTCGTGAACTTTTTTGAGCAACTAAAGTTATCTGGTGATGGAGTAGCCTTCAGTCCTCATGGTGTTGAGTAATTCATTCATCTGCACAATTCATTATGCTTGAGTTACTTTCTTGCCATACTTCCTGAAGACAGCAGGGACTGTGGCCAGCATCTTGGCAGATTTCATGCTCTATGTGTCTCAGAAAAAATCCTTGAACGTGGAGAGGGAGGCACTGCTCGTGGCTGGGGATGGATGGCCTTGGGCCAAAGGGACAGTGGGTCTAATTGAAGTGCTATTTATATTTATACAAATATTATCTTTTTATTTATTTACATGTATTTACATTTACAATTTTACCTCACCCAAGACCACTGACTCTTTGAAATCCATTTCTCTTTAATACCTGAAAACCTAAACTTTAGCTCCAAACTCGTGGCCAGACCAAGTTCTTCCAAATCATGGTATAGTATTCCATCTACTGAGTGGATTCTAGGGTCTTAGCAAGTTTGAGGGAAGGGGGATCCATGATACCTTTGTGAGGGTTGGGTTTGGAATATTTCTGACAGTTGATAACAAGAGCAGAATAAAATTTTATGTGTATAAATTAGTAGGGACTGAAAACATAATTCTTGAAGGACCCACATCCTAATTGATATTTACTCAGGGCAGAGGGAATGACAGTCTACTTGGTGTCTGGGTTCACATGAATAGGAAAATAAACAAAACATACCCATTTCCTGGGCTTCCCAGAAGCACCACTTAAATGCACTGTGCTTGACGCGAGGGAGCGGTAGTAATTACCTGGTAGTTGCAATGATAATGATACGGAACAGGCACCACCCTCCACAAACATGATCACCTTAATCCCTGCAACAACCCTACCCTAGTTGTCATTAGACCCTTTTAAGTAAGAGGAAACTGGTGTTCAGCGAGTTTGTTTTGGCTCGGGCCCCCTAGCATCAGAGCCCAAGACAGGGACTGTCATAGAGAGGATTTTTCGGAAGTGTAATCTTGGGTAAAATCTGTACGGGAACAAGAGAAGTAGTACAGGATGGCCCAGGGAAGCAGCCACACACAGCCGTGGGCTCAGCCTCAGCCAGGTCCCACGAATGACACAATAGGGTTGTCCCATCCCGACTTTTTGTGCCCCAGTGTCAGTCACTCATTGACTGCCCTCAGCCAGGGAACGCAATCCCTCAGGCACTTTCCAGCCAAGCAGCTCCCTTTAATGGGAGGCAGCTGTGTGGAGGAGGGTGTCGCTAGATAGATGCTGTTGGCAGCACCTGGGAGAGGGGTGCGCTGGCCTGGCCAAGCGAACCTAAGTCGGGTACCGACAGCATCTTCTAGCGTGTAACTCATCCCTCAGGGCGGATGCACCTTCTCCATGGCAGAGCCAGAATGCAAACCCTGATCTGCTTAAGCTCTTATCACTACACAGGCAGGGGTTAGCCTATTTATCCTGCCATTTGAAGCTTTAGACAATTAGTCCCTTTTTGGAGGGCCTGCTTCATGTCAGACACAGTGTGGAGAGCTGGAGAGAGAAGTGTACCCTCCGGGTGTGGGGTGTGGCTTTACTGTAACCTTACGCAGCGGCTTCTGAGCTGCAGTGGGGGCCTGAGCCGTCCTGCGGTGGACTGAGAGATTAACACTTGTTTTTCTCCCAAAGGCTGATGAGATGCAAGATGTGATGCATTTTAACTACACCGCATGGCCTGATCATGGTGTGCCCACCGCGAACGCTGCAGAAAGTATCCTGCAGTTCGTACACATGGTCCGACAGCAAGCTAAGAAGAGCAAAGGACCCATGACCGTGCACTGCAGGTAACCTCACCAAATGCGCTGTCTGTTAGGGCTTTGTTTCATACAGGAAATTGCCCACCATCCCATAAACGCCCCATCAGATTGCATTAACAGTTACATGAATTATGGTTATTTTAAATTTCTGATTAACTGATGTCTTTCTAGATACACAATTTACTTACAATATGGCTATTATATACCTTATAGCCAATAAAATTAATCTTATTATTCCCATTTTCAGATTTTAAAAAGCCCTAAGGAGTAGAGAGTTTAAGGGCATTGCACAAGTTCATGCAAGAAGAACATGGAAAAATTAGTGTTCAAATCCAGGCACACCCATCTCCTAAGGCCGTGCTTTTAAGCACGATGGGATATCCTATCCCATCAAAGATTCCATGGGGTTTATAACACAGCCAAATACAAGATCAAATTAAAAATAGCCAGTCACAGCCCTGAGTTATAGAAATGGAAGTAAGAGCAAGTTGAAAGGGAGAAGAAATGAAAACATTCAGCTCATGAAGATAAACATACTTACTAGGTTGCTCTTCAAGATTATCTCTAAATTTCCAGACAGCTGACATGAAAGGGGCTGCATGATCTATCGCGTTATCAAAAATCAAGGACCACACAAATTCCTGACGGAAAGGGTTATCTCTGAATTTAAGCCTTCTTTCCTACCAGGTGAACAAAGCTCCATCAGAATCCATCAGTGTGACACAATAGTGTTGTGAAATGTTGATGCAACCTCAGAAGCACAGGGGGTGTCAATGTGCTCCTGCTGCACAGGAGAGAGAGAAGTGGGGTGAAGATGTCAGAGGAGACACTGGCAGCCAGTAATCCTGGATCTAGTACCTTGGCCTGGTGAACTAGAATGGCTAGGCGGTGTGTGTAGGGTTGTGTGTGTGTCTGTGTGTATGTGTGTGTGAGTGAGAGAGAGAGAGAAGGATTACGTGTCTCCTGGAAAGAAAAACGCTTCATAAACTACCAGGTTTCTGATTAGGGAAATTGTCCTTGCTGTCAGTCATTCCCAGGTTAAAAGCTTTGCCTCGCCAGATGAAATGATCTAGTCTCCAAACGGTCTTTTCCAAAAAGCAGGAAATAAAGCTGCCCAACCATGAGGGCAGACTCGTGGATTCCTTTCATGCAGGAACATTTCCGGAGGTGACTTCCCGTGTGTTCACCCGGAGACAGAACATTGTATCCGAGAAGAGAAGTCCTAAGAGTTCTAAAAGTCTTTTTGATGTTGTTGGTTGAAACACATTTATTATCTCAAAACTAAGGCTCATAATTTTGATGTACATTTTATTGGTATAAGCC